CTTACTAAATGTAGTATTTCATCTCGATGTACTCCATCTTTGATATGATTTAAATCAAATTCCTCGTCATTATAAGTATCACGAATACACATCAAATAGTTTTCTGGTTGCGATTTTCTAATTTCGACTATGCGCAATGTATGCTTTATGCATGCGCGCGTTGAAAGAAACGTTTAATAAAGTAAACAAAAAAATATTAAGCTTTTTTTTTTGTAAATTTTGATACCCTTTAGATCATAATTGCTCTTTATTTCATAAATTACGGTTTAATATTTTTAATTTTATAATTTCTGCATGCTATCTTACCAGATTTAAACTGATGATCTATAATCCGGAAAAACCGATAATCCGTAATCACCGAAGTCCTAACGAGTCCGGATTAAAGGCTTTTGACTGTATTTCCTTTTTATGCAATGAGATGTATTTCCTTTTTTATGTTATTTCGTTGTGTGATTTAAAATGCAGTTTATTAAGCTTTGATTGGCTATAAATTTTGTTCAATTTTGGTGATGAGTAACTTAAACATTATGTGATGTCATCATTCTCCTGATTTTTTTATAGTGAAAATAGATCGATGTGTACATGGACAAAGTCAAAGGAGTGCACAATGCTGAGTTTGTGCAATTCTCTGATAATTTTTCAAGTGAAAATAGATTGATGTCATGGAAACTGAGTTTGTACAATTCTTTGACTTGTTATTTTGGTTCTGTGTAGTGGTCATCTTGAAATTGTACCTTGCTGACCAGTTGCCAAAAATTGCCTATTCTCACCAAGGGACACTCTTAAATATATTTTTACCAAAATTATTGACTCAATAATTTGACTCTTCTTGAAGATATATTTAAATAAATTCACTCAAAAAATTTAGGTGAATAATGTTAGAAAACTAAAAATGTCAGGTTTGTTTGATGATTTGAATTTTATAAAAAAAATAATAAGTGTTAAAAAAATCTACATTTTGAGAAAAACAAAAAATCCCACACTACTTTATCAATTTTTATTGCTGTACCATAATCATGCTGATATGATTACTCTGTAGCTTAATGTTTTTTTTCGTTTTGTCATTTGTGGACTTTTGCTTCCTATGGGGATTTTTTTTTTTATCATTGTTTCATCTTTAAAAAATAGATTTATCAAATCTACTTCAACCAATACTACTTTCCATATTAATCCTTGAAGCTTTCAACATTTAAGTTCCATAAAAAGCATAGTTTTTAATAACAAGTATACTTTTAATAATTTTTAATGATATACTCAAGTAAATATTTCTTCGAATCCAGATGTAAAAGAAATTTCTTTGTGACTACAGTGACTACGAACATAACTGATTCTAAGAGGAAATCAAAAGTAGAAAAATCAATTATCCATCTTTAAATTATGTATTTATACTTATGAATAATTATATTTCAGTTTAACTAAGAAAGGTTACATCTTTCCTGCTTCTTCATTTCCCCATAAGGCTTGCTCATTCCAAAACTTATGATTTATGCAGATTTGAGCAGCAAGCAGTTTTAATATAAAGTTAGAAGAATAGCTTGTAACCATATATAAGAGTTTTGACATTAAAGACCACGGCCTGCCTTTTAAATAGTTCAAATGGTGAATAACAACTGCCTTGTGCCAAACAGATTTGGTTGATAAGTTACAAATTTTGAGTCACTGTTAGCAGCCCTCAGTGACACTTGCAGCCTCTGTTGGAAGATATTAGAGACAGTTTAAAAAAGAACTTGCGTTTATAGCCAGGTACAGGCAACTGGTAATTTTGCATTGCAATAATTTTAATTTAATCCTCACAGTGGTGAGGTAAAAGAAAGTACATATGTGTCTGTTCACTTGAATTTAATTATTCTACTGGAATAACACACCTAAAGAATCAAATAACATCCAGGTAAATCCATAATTGAGCTAGTTTAGTTAAGTCCCAGATAGGTATTACAATTTCATAACATCTCCTAATAATTGCTTATTAGGTCTGGCAGTCTCCCAAGAAATGGTTTTTATTGCTACCTTGAAAAGTCTTTTAGAGAACAAAAAAGGGATGGGGGGAATAAAAGAACAACAATGTAAAGGTGCTGTTCATTATGATAACAGGCTAAATATGAATGATTTTAAGGGTTATTAAAATTTTCAAAAATTGTGGAAAAAAATTATATAGTATACAAGAAAAAATTTTCAGTAAAAGATAGTAGTTCTTTGTATCAGATTTGTTGGGGCCCAAAAGATTATTACAATATATTAAAACTAATATGGGAATATAAACAGTATAATAAATAAGAATTTGAATAGGACCTCAAAGGCCTGTTCAGATTCTTATTTATTATACTGTATTACTTATTTATTATACTGCCTTATTGATTATACTCATTTATTACACTGGTATAAACAGAATTTGCAACAGCAAAATTGAGATAAGACTTATATAAAAGATATAAAAGTATAACTTTTTATTCTTTTATTTTTTAATAAATGTGGTGTTATGTCGCAAATTTCAATTATTAATATGTGTTTTAAGTTATTATTATTCTAATATTTTCATTTGTATTCATGTGTATTTTAATCTGGAAAAAAAGTATTCTTAAGCTCTTAAGGTTTTATTTAACTCATTATTCTTGAGTAGGAATTGTAACAAAGGCGGGAAACGGTTGCAAGAGCCATCTGGTTTATGGCCTTTTACTAACAATGGAGGCAGTAGGGTGGTGTTTGTCGCCCTTTAACTAATGGCGTTTAAAACGGAAATTGTCTTGCTTTCGCTTTGTTGGAGTTTCAATTTTGTTACTTCAAGACAGTGGGGGTTAAACTAAGCTTAGGTAATTGGATTCTCGTAAAGCTAGTTTCGCTTGTTAGTTGGGGGGTCTATTTCTTTTTCTCACGTTATGTGTACAGATGTTTTTCGGATTGCATTGTCAGATTTTCTGGTGTTTGATTCGTCATGGGTGTGTCATTTTCTCAATTTAGATAACGTAAAATTCCGGCATTGGTAAGATTTAATTTTATGATTTTTTGAAAGCCTATGAACGCACAGAGGTGGAGAAACCGAGATTTCCTGGGTGCTTGCACCAGGCTAGAGATTATTCTGATTCAGATTTTTGAGCGAAAAGGAAAAGGAAAAGCAGAAAGTTTTGCGGGGCGAGCGATTTGTACCAGCGGGCTGCGGTGATGGCTGTAGCAGAGTCTGATTTGAGTGAATTTTTAGCAGCCGCGATGTGAAAGAGAAAGAAAGATCGTGGGGCGCTTTGCTCTGCTGCGGGCTTCCTGAGCAAGAGGGACTGGGTACCGTTTTTCTTTGCTCTAGTGAGAATTGCATTCTTTTCTGCGGGATGTTTAAAAGTTTTGTGCGAGATGCAAGGAACATTTTCCTGCGTGATGTGTATGGAGAAATGTGCGCGAGCTGCAAAGAGCATTTTTACTGAGAGCTGATTGAGATGTATAGAGAAAAATCTACCAAGAAAATTTAGCACAGATTTTCTCTCTTCACCTGAATCGCCGGTTAATCTCCAACAGCCCTTTTTTCGAAACTTTCAGCATAAATGTTGCCTCGCCACTTCGATGATGCACGTGATTGTGCTAAAAACTGGTGTATATTCAGCTACCTGTTATTGAATTGAAATAAGAGCCTTCTGAATTGGACTATTGGTTCCCACCTAATGGACAGATAAAAGATCCTTCTAAATTGGACTATTGGTTCCCACCTAATGGACAGATAAAGCGATTCCTGGCTGTTTGAAGAATTATTAGACTGTAATTTCCACTTGCGATTCCTAATGATTTTTAGACGCTTCAGAAAGGGTTGTCACAGAAAGAAAAATGGGCTTGGCTCATTTCCATGTGGATTGGACACTAAGGATCCTGCTAATCAGGAAAAACTGTTTTCCATCTGTGAGTGAAATTTTTAAGTATATTTTCTCTCTCTCTCTTTCTTAGTTTTCCCGAATGCAGAACAGTTAATAATGATTTATCTACCTGTATATTGTTATTACTTATATAAATTAAATATTACAGTTAGTAAAATTGAGAAGTTATTTATAATTTCAAGTGAATGCCAGTTTTAGGAGGATTAAAATTTGTTTCACCTACTGAATTTTGTGAGCTAGAAAAACATTACTTTCTAATTAATGAGAGCCTGTTATTTGGAGGATTAAATTTTGTTACACCTACTTAATTTGGAAAAAAAAATGTTAACTTTTAATTGTTGAAAGCTGTATTTTTGTGTAACAGATGCGATATTTCCATAGTAAAAATATGTGGTAGGGGATACTGATCAGTTATCCATTTAATTAAAATAGTCAAGAATCAAGAATTTAATAAATGTGTGTTTAAAATTTAATTGCATTTGTGTATTTATGTTGTGTATATTTTACTGTGGTCTGTCATGTCCCTCCATTTGTTTGAGCTGGAAGGCTCTTAAGAAACATGGAGTTTAATTGAATTTGGGGTTATTGATATTTCCTTTTGCATAGGTTACTCACAACGCAAACCTAAAAGTTAAATTGTACTACCACTATACGAATGTTCATACGAATGTTTATACGATTGATTTGTTCGATATGTTATACGAATGTTTATAAGATTGTCGATATGAATATTATGAATGTTTTGAATTATTTGAATTTTAGTTAGTTTTGGTCCGGCACAACAGTCAGTCAGTTAAGTTTAAGTTATAAAGGAATAAGGTATTAAAAGCCCAACATATTTTTTTTCTATTTAACAGTGGTAGCTTAGAAATTAATTTTCCATATTAATGTAAGAAAGAAAAAGAACACCATGGTTACCAAATATTAACTACAAGACTGCAAAAAAACAGAAAAAATTTTGAGTTAGATAACAGTCTAAAAATGTAAATCAGCCAACAATTTAATCTCAGCATGATTTGAGAAGTCTGACAACTAGCTATTTGATTTAAATTTAGTTTACAAAAATGTTTAACAAATATTATATCACTGCATATGCTAAATGAAACATTTGAATACCAAAGATGTAATCTCTGACACTGAAAAACTAACCTTTACTGTTTTATATTCTTTTCTCCATGGATGGCTTATTAAATTTGTGGCATACTTCTCTAAAGCTTCAAATGCAGACGCAGCTTTGTAAGCACTAAAATTTGGGTTCTTCTCTATACTTTGATTCAAAATATTAGCAACTTCTACAAAAGTAAACTTTGCAGAATGGGCGACAACACACAGGAACTCAGAAATAAGGCTCTCTAAATTACGCCGTTGTTCCAACTTGGCTGGAGTTTCTTCCTGGTTAAGATAAGCCAGGTGGCTCCGTAGAATGTGCCGATGCAATTCTTCACTTCGGGCACCATGCCCATCATGGGCTTGAAATGTCATAGTCATATCTGGAGGAGGAAATGTTTGTCTTATAATTACAGTAATTATATCTTCAAATCAAAATTCAAGCAAATTTTGAAAATTATTAGTATTTAAATAAATATAACAAACAACTTTTAATAAAAAGAATATACCGTTTGACATTAAAATGAAATATACGCTACAAAAGAGTTCAGTATGGTACCTGCCACTTATTAAACTCCTTTGCTAATAAACTAAGCCACTTATTACATTCAAATTTCCAGGAACCAAAACAAATACATACTAATCAAGAAAAAAACCATCATTTATTAAACTCATCTCCGCCACATATTAAACTCTGACTGGCAAGAGACTGATTCTTCAGTGCCAGAATATCCTACTTAAGCTTTTAGTAGCTTATCCAGAGTTCTTTGTCTATACTGAATGAACTGACAGGCTGTGGATGTCCAACTTCTGTATCCCATATTTTAAGGTTTCCACATTCAAAAGCTTTCCTTTGGTCTACACACTATGTTCACACAGACTTATAAAAAAAAGCTCTCATAAATGTTTCTACGTATTACTGAACACTAATTTTGAATGGAAAGGAAGCAGTGACCATAGACTAAAGAAAATAAAATCTCAAGGCTAATGTCTCGGGTAAATGCAATCAGTAAAAAATCTAGACATACTGAAATTGCTTCCTTAGAATGGTTTCAAGATATAACGCTAAAAATTTTTTCTGCTTCTAGAACTTTTTTTCACTAATTCACTAAATGCTAGGAAAGAATTTTATATTAATTGACATATGGCTCACAAGCTGGAAGAAAGAGAAATCCAACACTTTTCATCATAAATTTCCTCATGAAAAGGAAGAAGTGGATCACCCTCCAGCTAATAACTTAGTAAAAGATGTTTTACTCATACTGCTAAATGAATATAAACAATATGAAATTTATAATACAGATGTAACTTGTCTGCATTACAGAACATTACCAGAACACACATTAACCCTTCAGAGGCTACAAGATTCTTTCTTTCCAAATATGTGTTAAATCTGCAAGTTATAAATTTGTAATGCAAGCTCCGTTCATTTGTGGCCACTGTGGTGCATAAATGGAATGTGAGCTGAGCTCGTCAATGACCGTCAAAAGTTTAATATTTAAAAATTAAACAGCTTTGGTTTAAAAAACTAAATAAGTTAGTTATTGATTTATTAATGTGCAGTACAGATGTAACAATTGAGAAGACAACACTTGTGGTTGATAAAATCAGAAGACCTTGTTATTTGAAAAAGATCAGGAATTCACTTTTAAATTACTATAGCAACAAGAACTCATGTATGACAAATAGTATTTTAAACATTTTCTTTTGAAATAGGATAGTGAAATGAAAAATGAAAGAACAGCTTTACTAATTAGAAAACTGTGCAGCACACACACTTCTGATCTCTTTCTGAAAAACATTAGTGTCTCTTCCTGAAAATACTACTTCTAACATTAAACCTTTACTATTGAGATATTACAAAAGCTTCCAAACATCATTATAGAAATAATGTTGAGTAAATGATGAACAGAAATAAAATCTGTGAAAATGAAAGCATTTCAAAGAAGATATGCAAGTTGATACCTCTGCTAAAAGTCATGTGTATTATAGCCGATACATGGGTTTAATATCTTAAAATAGTTAAAAATTGTTTTGAACATGTGGCTTTTATGCAGTAGAAGCCTCAGAGAATTTCAAATTATGGCTAATGTTTCAGACATCAATGAGGGAAGATACAAAGATTCATTTGTAGAATACACATCAATTAAGAACAATATCAAGAAAATGTCTACAAAAACTGACTACAAAAGTGTTAACAACAACTGCAAAAACTGACGGTGAAAGTGATACACAAAAATGTGATGATGAGCCATAATTAATCCAATCAGAAAAGCAAAGCAAATTCTAAGAAAAATTCTTTAACTTAAATGTGCTGTTTAAAAAAGCTATCAGCAGATTAATGAAACTGAGAATACAACTGAAAAACTACTGTTGAACAACGCAAAACAAGAACTGTTTCTAAGAGATAAAATTTAATCAAGGGTGTAATTATGAAAATATTTTTATAAAAATTTTAAAATGAATTTCAAAATAGTGTAGTTTAATTTTAGTATTAATTTTTCATTATAATTTTAAGATCAATTAATAAATTATTTGTTCTTTATTATTTAAAAAATTTAAAAGTGATAATACAGTTTGACATATACAAATCACTGTCTATTAAACTCAGCTGCTTAATAAACAATTGGAACAAAAATGATTTTAAAAAGTAGCAGATACTGTATTAGCTATACTAAAATTTACATTTTAAAATTTTAAGTTTCTTCATGTATTTTATGAATTACTAATACATAATTTGAATGAATTTTCAGTACTGCAGATCTCTCCAAAAAGACATCAACTCATTGGCAACTAATTTTTGATGATGAAAAAAGCAAGAGTGATTTTTTACTAGATGAAAGGAAAGAGTGATTTTTAAACTAGATGGCTAAAAGGAAGAGTGACTTTTAAAACAGTGGTGCATTAAGAATTCCATAAAAGAGCAATGAATCAGTAAAATTAATAAACATCCATAAAAAAATATCTTTCCTGATGAAATCCTTATATAATGTTGCTCTCCCCATGTACAATTTCTGTTTTTGCTTTAAAAGAAAAAAAATTTGATCCCTAAAATTCTATTGCTTACGAAATACATCAAGGAATGCAAAATTTTACATTCTCGATTTTTGGGGAAAATGAAATATTTCTGAAGAAATTAAACACACTCTTTTTCATCAGCCAATAATTCCACAGTTGCAATATGATTCATTAAAAGAAAAAGAAAATAGTGCAAGAAACACCAATGACCATCAAATTTGAAGGTAGATTTTCACTTTGCCACATAATTACATTTTGGTGACATCATGGGTTGCTTATTTTGGTAACAGGGTGCATTGCTTCTTGAATATTTTTCAGGAGGTTTCTATAATCAAAAAAGTACCAAATTTTCTTCAAAATTAGAAAATAAGAACATAATAATTTCTGCAACTGCTAGTTTGAAAATATGCTCTTATTTAAACAAAAAATATTATAATAAACTTGAGCAACAGTAATGTTTCTAAAATCTGGAAATTTATTTTAAATTTGACAACTTTCATTATTTTAGAGACTAAATTATTTTTCAATACAACTTTATTTAGACCGCAGTTGATCACTTTCTTCAAAAACGTCCGTGTATTATCATATAATACAGTCAAAAGTCGTTAATTCGGACACCCATAATCCAGAATGATCTATAATCCGGACCTCAAAGCTACAAACTTTCTGCGCATGCGTCGTGTGACGCATGTGCGTAAGACCTTTACGGCTGCGAATATGCATGTGCGCATGCACATAATACGTTTACGCATGCGCGTTTAGTGTATAACGGACGGTACAAGCTAAGATAAAATTATCTAATTCAGTTAATGTTGCAGATTGCGTTGTTCCTTAATTTTCGAATTGGATCTGGCTTATTATTTTTTGCAGACTGTTAGAGCAATTTTATAAAAGTAAGCTTAAACTTTGGATTATATCAAATAGAATTTCCGAAATATTTTTGTTAATATGTAAAGGATCTAAAGCGAAAGTATGTTTCGAAATCAGAAATCTGTTTATCAATTTCATGCTGCTCGGCGGGGGGAACGCCGCGGCGCTCAATGAATTGGAAGTTGATCTGTCAGCACTATCCTTATCTTCAGGGCAGATGTTTTTATTTTATTTGGCTTATAATTTATTACTAAATGTAGTATTTCATCTCGATGTACTCCGTCTTTGATATGATTTAAATCAAATTCCTCGTCATTATAATTTACTTCCAATAGTGAAGAAAGTGACACAGAGGTTATTGAAAACGAAAAAATTTCGATTGACAAATTAGTCGGTATTCTCGACACAGCAATTATAGGACTTGAACAGCGGAACTTTGTAACTGAACAAGAAATTTTGTCTGTTGTATTTTTTAAGAAAAAGAGAAAGTATTCACATAAAACGAAGCAACTTACATTAAAAAGAAATGTTTAATAAAGTAAACAAATAAATATTAGCTTTTTTTTTTTTTTTTTGTTTGTTTGTTTGTTTGTTAATTTTGATATCCTTTAGATCATAATTGTTTTTTATTTCATAAATTACGGTTTCATATTTTTAATTTTATAATTTCTGCATGCCATCTTACCAGATTTAAACTGATGATCTATAACCTGGAAAAATCAATAATCCGGAATCGAACTCCCGATGAGTCCGGATTAACGACTTTTGACTGTAATAGCTTACGTAATTTAAAAAATGAAAATGAATAATATATCTGATATACAAATAACTTTATACTCTTTTTTCATAAGAATGAAATCAGAGGCTTTTTATACATTTGCAGAGGCTTTTTATACATTTGCAAACATGAGCAAGCTTTAAATACACATGTACACTGCGAAAAATCATTGGGAGAGTTCTATATCTCCTGTTGTACTGCACCAATTGACGAAATTCAACTTGGGTTTCTCATGTCTCGAAAGCACATATGTATGTATTAGATGTCTCGAAAGCACGTATTACGATATGTATTAGATTTATATATAGCAGGGGTGGCCAACCTGTGGCGAGCTCTTTGAAGGATTATTTGTCACTCTCGATAAATGTACCCCAGTTCCCTTTTCATTTTTCTGTTATTATATTTTTAAAAATTATTATCCTTACGTATGTGTTTCAAAATGTCTTTTAAGTTACAGACAACAATAATGAAAGACTAAGTGCAATGTAGTATCAAATTTCATTTCTGTCCATTGTCTCTTGACTTTTTTCTGAATCCATTTGAAATTAACGTAATTCAAGGCGAGTTTTCCATTTCCAATATAATTATGACCCAAAAAGCATCTGGAATTAGAATTAATAGAGATGCATGAAGATCAAGCTCTACAATTAAAATATAAATCAACGCAGATTACTGAATTTTGGAAATTTGTACCAAAATCGAAGTATCCTGAATTAA